TTAATTCGAGGCGAGGCGAGATGCGCGTCCACTTTGTGCGGTTCGGTTGCTCGTTTCGCCCACGCGCTCGTCACTGCATTTCCACCCAACACGCATGCAAGCACACACGCGTGCACGATGATAATGCACGACACCGCGAATAAAATACGGGGAGAGAAAGAAAGAGAGAGAGAGAGAGAGAGAGAGAGGGGGAAGAGCAAGTATATGGAATCTTCGAAACTGCAGAATGAAGACTTTTTTTAGAGCATCCAATAGCGCGGGGGTGCGCCGAGTATGCGAAAAGGGCATCGTAAAAAGGCGACGATAAAGGCGTCGCTACTAAAGTGTCGCTGCCATGGTTTTTTACTAGCCACCGGTATCCGCGGTGTTATTTTATTGGTGACAAGCGTAATGAGGCGTCTGCCGACTAATCGTGTGACGGTATTCCGGATCGTTAATAATAACGATTTTATTATGCGGCATGAATTATCGCTTGTAAGAAAACACGATTAATGATGTTTGGTAGATGCATATATTAGCTGATGATATCATCTGTAAATTTAGGAAATTAATTTCGTCGGACGTATATTACGCGACTATTATCTGTATTCAGATAGAACTCAACATTTGAAAAAGCAAGTTGATCAGAACATCAATTAAGACACTTGTTTCTTCTCGTAAACAAATTACGTTAATCTATATTTGTCGCCATATTTTAAAAATCATAAACTTTCGATATTTTATTCTACTTAATATCATAGATACAATATCGCATGGCTAACGATTTTTTCATTATATCACTTGCAAAAATAGCAAACATGACCATACCGGACAGTTCAGTAGCATCTATTAAATTATCATGCCTGACTTTTACAACAGCTATAAAGTTATAATTGTATGTTTGTCCCAAAATCATGTTTTTAGACTTGATGAATTCGTGCCAGAACACCGACGTGATGCCACAATGCTATACGAAGGGTCAGGGTATATAAAGAAGATGTGTCATTTATCCACTCAAAAAGCTATAATACTTCATCGATCTACTTCATGAAATCGTAAAGCGAATTGTTTTGATTTTACGAACGAAAAGATCCATGCACAGTTTGTTTCACTAACATCTGTAGCGGCTATGATGCATTCCACTTTCCGGGCGCTAGAGGACATTAAAAATAACTGTCTAAAGGCATTCTCGCGGTGTTAAACCACCCACGTTCTCGTCTCACGTTACGATCGCGTATCTCTTTTAACGCAGCGAGATATCGCTTGGCCGATACTCGCGAATACCGTTATACAAAAAAATTTTTTTTTTTTTTTTTTGGATTTCGCAGGAAATCGTATCGTATCGACGGAAATAGCCGTCCGCTTCGGTAACTGAAACAACTGGCAACCGAGCAAATCGCATTTATTACATCGAAAAATAGACCGAATTTCTTCGTTGTCTAAAATTAAGTCCGATAGATTTTGTCTAACTTACGAATTATATTAAGAATGTTTATCCATCGTCACAAAATGTTATTTTTCTGACTCAATCTCATACGTTCCTCTTATCTCATGAAGAAGAAGTTACATTAATAATTTTAACTATCTCTTTCAAGTTATTAATACTTTAAAGATATATATTTTTATCTCTTTTTAAATTATTTCGAAAACACCTGCTGCTATTTTGTGTGTGACCGTAAGATAATATTTTAAAACTACGAGAAAATAAAATTTAGATAGAAACGAAAATACATATTATGTTCTAGTGAATTTTTTAATAGAAGTGTAATCTGGTATTGTAGTTTGGGAAAACTAAATTTGTTGATGATATATAATTGATAGAAAGAAAAAATTTCTTCCAAAATTTCCATGTTGCTGAGAAAATTATTTATGAGGTCTATGCACACATGATGGTACATAATTTATTTATTAAAAACAAGCTATAAACACACGCCATATCTAAATTTCCAAGTACAACGTACACTCCAAATCTCGACTTGATGAACAATTTGTCAGACTCGCGCGCACATCTGCGTTATATAGATGGAGGATTCTATCCTAAAAGAGCGAGAGAATTACAGTCTGGACCGTAAAATTTAAAAAATATCCTGATCGAGACGCGCGCGGCAGATAACGAGATCGAAGGTACTTTCCGCGCTTGTAGAGGAACATCGATGGTTATTATGGACAACACCATGGGGACCCGTTGCGTTAATATGTCGTTGGGTTGCTGTAGGTCCGCGAACTTCTTATATATATGTATATATAAGATCCTTCCTCCTTTTTTCCCCCTTTCTACGCGTCTTCTCTTAACGGCTGTAAAAAATGATTCTCGCGACGAAGGATATGTAAATTTATGAAGGCTCGGGATCCTATGGGGTTGTCCCTTTCTCTTTGATATATCCCTGCGGCTGACCCTGCCACTAGCATTGTTATGCTAACAATTAATTAATGTCACTGTAATTATACTGACATCACGTCACACTTCCTACTCGCATCCCCTCCTGCTCCCCCTCCATCTCTTTCTGTTCCCTCTTCCTTTTTCCCTCCTTTCTTCCTTTCTTTCTTTTCTAGCGACGATCTTCTTAACGCTTTCGAAAGACGGAAATTATGCTGATTAAGACGGTTCATTGTTTCTGTCGGTCTTTGTTACGTCTTCGGGTGTTTGAGGAACCACTAAAGGGGCTTGCCGCACATTTCTCTTTCTACATACGTATGAGGGAACGATTAGAAACGGGACCTGCGCTTTGTGCACGCATTGTCTCGCGACGCGCATTGTAGTTCTTTACACAACGCGAAGCGCTATTGTCGGTTTGATTAATTATTGTTTTGCGATTAGACTTTTTGGACACGCACACATTATCTTTCCTTAGCAAGAGAGAATTTGATAGAAGATGAGATAACTAATATTTTATATTAAAATTTTTAAAAATATGTTATATTAATAATTAAATATTGATATATATTAATAATTAAATCAATAATTCAAAAATATAACAGAACACAAGCCAAGTACATAAAAAAATATGCAAATTTGTATGCAACAATTAAATGTTTAAGAAGACAAAAAGATATTAAGATATACTTTTATATGTATTTCGTGTTTTTTTTTTATTATAAAATAAAAGCTTATCACACACCGATCGACGCGCAACAGCGAAGTTGACTACGTTGAAAATCTACGTTGATCTGTAACATATAAATATAAAATTCAAATTGTAGCAGCGTCCAAAATAATTAATATTTCAAAAAATTATCGAATGCATTGAATTTTATATGCGATGCGAAGAATAATAAGCATGAACTAATTTTACAAATTCTGAAAAGATTCTACTTTTTATTCAACAAAAATTTTTATAAAATTAATCGTGTAATTCAAATCTCACGTGTAATATACAATTAATATACAAATAAATTACCCCATGATTGCTCCGCCAGTGCCCGATGTCTCTCCTAGGCTTTCTTCTTCTCTCGAGTTGTTAGGGTCAGTAGGATCCATTGATTCACGTTGTACCTACTCGCAAAAAGTTTGTACAGTTTATTACACGCGATACTTTGCACGGCACTCTCGCATTTAAATGCGCGATATTTTTAACGACTTTCCCGCATTTTAACGCGCGATACTTTGCAGGCATTGGACGCATGACATTTTGAATGGTACTCCTACATTCACAATAAAAACAAACGTGCGATACTTTGCTCACTCCGGGATTTCTCCTTTTGCACGAGTATTGCATTTCGAATCAACGAAATAATTTCGAACAAGGGTTAAGTCCGAAGCGGAAGAAGACGTAATCGATAAACGAGATCAACGTGAATGAGGTTCGCCCTCTTGTCTTAGAACGTTTTCGGATCTCAGACGACTTTAGATACGATTCGTTATGATATCATAGTGGCTTGTAGACGTCATGATATCATATCGCAGAAATCGTGCTAAGTTGTCCTAGTCATCTCATCAAGATGAAACATATATGTATGTCTTTAATGTGTAGGTAAAAAACAGACCGTGATGTTTGGTAGACTACACATGAATATGATACCATTGATATATGGTGTTGGTGTATGTGACAAAAGACGGGACGGAATCAATCGACGATGATCCCACCCGCCCTTATCGGGCAATCGATCAAATTCTAACCGATTCGAGCCGATCGCTTGTCGGAGCATAGCGTGCTTTTATTGAGTATTGGCGACTCGTGACAATGCTGTATTTAGGTACTTAGCTACCCCTTTAGGATAAGCCTTCCAGGTACTAAGCCCTCCCACCAAGGTCAAGGTGTACCCGTTGGGAGGGTTTTGTCAGCGAAAAGTCGATGCATAGATATTTAACGCATGAGAAATAATACCATGCCAAATATTTTATTTCTCGCAATTTTGATTAATTATTAATGAATTAATAATCAATACATAACGATTTTTCATTATCTTTATTCGATTCAGCGATTTATGTATTATTCCACACTACATATCAATTGTCTTGAATTGTTACTCGAATTATTTATTTTAGCGATATATTACTCTCTTAATTCGATAGTAATAACAAATAATAATAAATGATATATTGGTGAGAAAAATTTAAAGTCCAATGTGAGGTATTAAAGAAATCATTGTCTCCCGTAAATATCACGACACCATAAATTAAAATTTTTATTTTCTTATTGCTTAGAATAAGCTATTGAGCAGCGTTTTAACAATATAGCGTGAACACAATCGCGTTACTAATTTTTTATATATTTGACGTTACAATGCTATTATTATCGCTTGATTCAAAATTAAAAAGACTGCTAAATTATTTAATTTCTCAAATGTTCAATTTTTTGAACATATATCTTACCTATTATATTTAAACATTGAATTTGCAGCTGTTTTAAAATTTTATTTTTTTGGTTTTCTAGAACAGAATAATCTTGTGTCTGATTAATACATAATTATTCTTTTTATCTTTATTCGATTCTGCATGACATGAATATTAGCGTTTACGAATTTGCTACGTTTCCATATTTATCTGTGTGCTAATCATCGATCTTATTTGTTTGTTGCAGGACGTAAGGAGGTTCGAAGGAGCGTAGATGAGTTCTACTGTCTACGTCCTCGGTAAGTCATGCAAACTCGAGTCTTGTGTGAATGTAGATATCACGCTCTCGCCGACAGAATCGTGAGATCGCGAGCAAAATATATTACCTGCGAAAATGCAAAGAAATTTTTTTCCATCTTCTCTCAGGATCGGCTAATTACACATAACACGAATAACTCCAGATAGTGGATACGTCACCAAAATGTGTAATAACTTTCCGCCTGCGCGAACATGAACGACTGCGTCATTAGATCCCGCGTTCCATGAGCGTTTTAACGGCTCTGCATTCTTCGCTCTCCTATCGGAGAATCGATCTATTATTGACCGCATGCACCATCAAGCAGAACAGATCTCTTTGCTTTATCGATGAAAAAGTATCGATCGGTGTAAAAACGCTATGACTTTGAAAATTTCATTTTTTATGATTATACTAGAAACATTAAATGAACATGAAAAAACTGAATTTAGACATATATATTTTAATAGTGAATATAAACTCATTAATAATCATATTAATTACTAAAATTTCTTTTATGGTCTTATTCTTTTTTTAAATTAAGTAATTCATTATCATGAGATAATTTTATTTTATCCAAATAAATATAGATAAACATATAGTTATATATATATATAAAAAATGATAAAACCGATATCGAAATATATTACAACATATATTTGGCCTTTGTATTTCGACAAACTGAAATTTCTGTATTTCAGTATATTATCGATTTCTAAATTTTTCAAATAACATATCAATACATCTTTTCAATATATAGTGGTTTTAAAAAAGTATTTTCTTTTTAGACTATGAGAGAATAAAAATATTAGCTCTTGTGATACAAAAAAATTACTCGAGAATTTGATCGTCATGAATATTCCAACTTTCTTAAAATTTATTATTAGAATGCCTAATATATAGTAAATATAGTTGATTGAATGAATGTTCGACTTTTCTTGTCTTCTCACAATCAGACTTTATCACTATGCGCGCTACATTACATATCACGCGTTCTTATCAGACATTACCTCATTTTCTTAAGACCATTATCTGATATGTTATATTTGGCATGTTGTTCTGCGAGCTCCAAAAAGGTTGAATGATTCTATTAGTCAAGCTGCTTCATATTGTGACATTTGTTCACTTAACTTTTATATCAATATCACGCCGTGCTGATGACGAATGTAATCTAGGTCACAACAATGAATATAAATCTATCTTCTTTTTTTCGATTTTATATAAATCTTTATAAAAATATTTAGAGATAAAAAATAAATAAAATGTCTCTTTTATAAAGATATTTCCAGATATAGGATAAACAATTTTTTGCGCAAGATGATTTGCGTTTTTCAGATAATGATTCTGTTGATGAATATTGATACGATGCCGATACACGGCATATGGCCAGATGTAAAATATTTGCGCTGAATTCCAAGAATTTGACATTTCATGATGAATTTACACACTTGGTTTAAGAACTACTATTTGCTATGCCATTAGTTTTAAATAGGCAACCAAGCTATTCGTATATAATTATTGTGTGGCGTAAAAACATCTTCGGAGCTCCGTAAATTACTGATGCTGCAGATAAAATTTCCGTTTATGTAAATATTGTAAAAGTTGTTGTGAACTATGTACCCATATAATCCGCTCGATGAATTTAAATTGACGAATTTATAATCTTAGTTCTCGTAAATATTGGCACGACTATAAAATTCTGTCCACATGATTGTCTGATAGACTCGACAGTGCTCTCTTTTTTCTCGTCGCTATTAACGAGCGCGCGTATATGCATTTGCAGCTCTAAATCAATATCAACGCATTAGCGTTGATAAAGTATATACAGATTAAGAAATAATTAATAGTCAGAATGGTTTGACATATTTCTTTCGCGTGTCCATCCGCGTTCGCATTTCGCTTTATGATATTTAAGGCTGTTTACATAGATCGCAATTCACAAAACTAAATTTACAAAAGCAAATGCTAAATAACATATTGTCGCATGCAAAATGCACGCAGATGCAAATCTATCGCACGCGATAAATTAAACTCCAACTTTCTGCGATCTATGAACGTCTACCCGTCTGCGTCCTCTACAAATGTCCTCTACGAGCGTCCTCTAACTCATCTGCGACTTGCGCTTTGAATAGCGATCTATCTAGACGGGCTTTTATAATGATTGCCACTAATATCGATTGATCGCGGTATTATTGACGTGATACCGCGGCTAAGTGCAGATCGCGCCGAGCAACAAATTAATTACCGGCCAATCGTAACGTTCTCGCGCTCGAGCATCAACGCTGGGCAGCGATTGCTGGCGATCGACACGTTGCGCAATTTGCGGATTTGATTAATGACTCGCATGCTGATTAATGAATGCAAATTATCCCCGGACTAGTGTATACGCGCGCAAAAATGGAAACCAAGCGGCAGTTTTTCGTGCGACAAGCTCAGATCGATCAGACGCGAGAGGCACGAGAGGGTCAGTTCCGAGCCACCTCGGACCTTTTTGGTCGATTCGACTTCGGACGGTGGTTTCCTTTCGTTCTGCGCCGCAGAACGAGGGAAGAGGAACGAGAGAGTCGAAGACGAAGAAGGCGAAAGGGAGGAAGAAGATAGGTCTCCTCCTCCCCATAAATACGGATTTAGTCGCACGGTTTACGACCAAAAACGTGTCGAGCCTCGCGAGCAGAGCCGCGCCTAAATTATTAAAGTCGTAAACGATCGAAATCGTCGTTAAGCGTCGCGCGAAGAAACCCATCGGTATAGGTGGTGCCCTCCTCTCCGCGCCCCCTTCGACAACGATCGTTTTTCTCGAGGTTTCATTGTTAGGTCGCGTCAGACGGGCCTCCGATAGTACCGGCCACAGCTCAGCCCGACACGATCCGTCGTAGGCGACAGTAAACGGGCTGACCGTCGCGATTTTTGCGATGGACTTCTGCGAAACGTCCGTGCAGATTAAACTCGGAGATGCGGTAAGGAGACACTTACGACAGATAATCATGCGGTGACTGCGCGTACCAGTCATGTTACGAGATCGATTTTTAGTTAGTTTTATTCAACGCCCAAGAAAAATGATTAATTTTTTTGCTTAAACATCCGCATTCGCATATAAATATGTTGCGAAAATTTGATTATCGATAATTTTTTCTTAAGAAAGAGATGTGCCACAAAAAATTTTAGTGTAATAAGATTTGTACAATTAATGTACTTTCTCTCATGTGTACAATGGATTAATATTATTTATAAAAAAAATGAAAACTAAAACACATATTTCCCCTAAATAGATCATATTTATAATTAGTGTCGCGCAGTAGAAAATAAAACAACGTAATACTTGACAAATTACAATAAATCTTCGCGTAGTGATTTAAAAGTTGCATTAATGTCAAATGAGATTCGAACAAAGAAGTGCGATTGTATAACATTAGCATATTTGCAATTATCCAGGTTTGCTCAACGTGTTGATCAGCCGTAATCATTACGATAATTACTAGACAGTCGTCAGATTTATTTCTGTAGACGCGTCCGCGCAAAAAGTACGAAATAACACATCACGTTTCCACGATAAAGTGAATACGGCCGACATGTGTTGCGAGCGACAAGAAACACGATTAAAATTTGTAATTAAAATCAGTTGTGGCGTATTATCTACATAGACAATGTAGCGAATCGCAATGCTGTTAGCTTACGGCGGTACAGCGGCGGTGCGAAAAATTTAATTGCTACATAATTGCTTGTTATTATATGATGATTGACGCAGCGTACTTTATTGCCGTAGCATCGCCGCGATAAGCATTCAAATTGAAACGCGGTTACGTAACGCGGTCATATCGATGGTTCAGCAAAGAAACGTGTCTTAAAATAAGGACTCTGCTCCGTTTACGGGATGTATAAAATATGAACTAACGCGCGTGCGATCGCTATAAATATCGCTCCCAAGATTTCCTTATAAATAGAACGAGGAATAATTCAGTTGCACCTTCTCGTGCATCCGTTTTTCTCGCGACGCGTTAAACGAGGTGCACCACAATGACGTTTAAGAATCTTTCTTTGTCGGATCTCGTTACTTTGTAATTTACTGCTTCCCTTTGAGCGTCGCATTAAAGATTTTCACAGGCGAGAAAGAGAATACGAGATCGCGTGTAACGATGATACATGCAAGCATATCGCATTGTCGTATCAAAGTACGAGTGAGAAGGAAACAAAAAGTGGACAGAGAGAGTAGTCGCGAAAAAAGATACGTGTATATGTGTCAGAGGAATCGACCACCCGGTTTTTCGATGGTGATCTTTACTCCGCAAATATTCTTCAAATCTAAACGCACATGCAATGAGTCAGAATCGCTAAAAGTCTATGCGCTTGGTGTTTTTTTTTTTCTTCTTTTGATTTATCAAAGAGCTTCAGGAGAGACTATGACAGAAGCTACCTTTATTATTTGAATGATTATAATTATGTTCAATATAAGCTGTGATACATCGATGTTCATGCTCCCCGTTTTTCATTTTGTTTTTATTTGTGGATTGTTTGGCCAATATAAAATTGACTTTTCTTAAGAAAGAATTCAATATAGCCTGCTTTTTCTTTTACATGTAACTTTAAATATCTGTTTATGTATTATTTAACCATTAAATTATAATTAATACTCGTTATAAAAATAAAAATGGAATTTTTGTCGCCGATTGTGCAAATAAATTAATGAAATTGCAAATTTGCATGTTTCTCTGATATACGATAGGCATTGAATTATTTTTCCGCAACGCTATGCAATAATAAATCATTCAACGAAAAAAGAAGGCTGTTTGCGAGAGAAAATACATTTGCATTGTATATTCAACACACAAGATAAATATAAGACATCATTTATAACATGTACATACGTTTCTTATCACACATCTTTTGTTCTTGCCAATACTTATTCAGAAATACTCATTCGTAACGAGAACAAACATAAGAGTAGAATCGAATAAACATGAGCTTACACAATTGCTTGAAAAGAGATGTTATCAAATTGCGTCTATT